TCATTCACTGAAAATTAGTGGTGATCTCCCAAATTTATACCAATCACTTTGGAGGAAGTTTGAAGGAAGAGATAACTCTTTATTTAGTTAGATTAACATTAATTGTTCTTTATTTAATTATATAATTAACAGACATGAGTTACAGATATATTAAGTAAGAAACATATGAACTCAAGCTTTGAGATTATTTCCATACTTCGCTTACCTCCTCCGTTTATCCAGTCATGAGATATTTTATCTCATGGTATTAGTTTATAATTTAAAATATTTTGCTTTGTTGCATTCTTTAACAATGTAAATATCATCTTAATGAATGAGAGTTTATGAAAACATAGACTAAAATAAATAATTATATAAATTTAGCTATTAAATGCTGTTTCAATACACATCTTCACAAGCGGATCTAAAATCCCGTGCCACTTAGATATCTATGTGGTATTGTGCTGTTCCATGGTGTCTTTTAACACACCATTTAATGAATACTATAATTTCTTAATGCTAGTATAACATTTTAATGCCCCTTAACTTTGAAAATACTGCATTGCTTACTGTTTCATAATAGCACGGTCCCAAATTTTGATAATTTTTTCAAAGTGCAACAGAAAATAGAAGTTCACATACATTTTTCTTATCAAAGACAAAACTGATTTATAGAAGATCAAAACTACATAAAACCACAACAAAGGTATAAGTGTGTTGTGAATCATGTTTACCTGTTATTAGAGCTGAATCAGACTGTTTGATAACAGTTTTTATTTGTTGAAAATAGCTGATGAGAAAATATGTAAGTATCAAAATTATTTTGACATCATATCCAGCTAATCACTGCCAAAAGTTTGCTTTTTTAAGAAACAAATATGATATAAAAATACGTGATTTTCATAGTTATGTATATAAGATAAAAATTGTATACTTATTAATTTTTTCTTATTTTAAAAAACAAATACAGCCAAAAGTCGTTAATCCGGACTCGTCGGGACTTCGGCGATTCCGGATTATAGATCATCAGTTTAAATTTCGTAAGATGGCATGCAGAAATTCTAAAATTAAAAATATGAAACCGTAATTTATGAAATAAAGAACAATTATGATCTAAAAGGGTATCAAAATTTACAAAAAAAAAAAAAAAAAAAAAAAGCTTAATATTTATTTACTTTATTAAACATTTCTTTCAATGTAAGTTGTTTAAGTTGCTCGTTTTTATGTGATAATACTTTCTCTTTAATTCTAAAAACAGACATAATTTCTTGTTCAGTTACAAAGTTCCGCTGTTCAAGTCCCGTTAATGCTGTGCCGAGATGACTAACTTGTCAACCGAAATTTTTCGTTTTCACCACCTCTCTGTCACATTCTTCATATCTTATCATTTTGCAGCAATTCCACATTTGCTGTGGACATAAACATACTTTCGTTTGTAGATCTTTGGAAGTTCCAGATCGAAAATTCTATTGACATAATCGAAAGTTCAAGTTTACTTTTATAAAATTGCTCTTATAGTGTGCAAAAAAAAAATAAGCGCGATCCAATTCGAAGATTAAGGAACAAAACGCAATCATAACATTAACTGAAATAGATAATTAGATAATTTTAGCTTACACCGGCCGTTTCATTAAACACGCAGGCGAAAACGTATTATGCCACTGCGCCACGCATATGCGCAGTATAGTCAAGGTCTACGCAAGTAGGTTAGAATAGAAGGAGGGAAAGTCAACTCAAATGGTGAAGCTTGGCGGCCAGTTCCTGTTATCGCTGTGACTTGTGCAGGGAATTCTGTAACTGCAAATTTTTTTCTTTTCTTTTTGAAGCATGTCAGCTTGTGTTGTAGTATATGATGCACAAACAGATTTTCGCAAAAGATTCCTGGGATTATTTTTCATGCATAAGTATTGATTTTCTCTTTTTTATGTAATTTGATAACTTAGGTAAAAAATATCACAATGCCATGTTGTTTCCTTTCCAGATGTGAAAAAAAGAACTTAATCAAAATATGTTAAATACATTTTAATGTTTTTGTGTATAGCTGGCATCTTCGTTACTTAACATACAATGATGTATGCTAGGATTTAAACGTTTTAGGTAATTCGTTTGATAGTTTTAATGAAAAGTAAGACACCAATTGTTACTATTTTTATGAATTTATTTTTCTTCATGTATTCATTATTATTCATTTTTAAGTTTTGTGAACTGTTAAGAATATAATTTGTGCATGATCAAGATAATCTAACTTTTCTGTTGCAATTTTTTTTATAAATTGTAAGTAAATATTTAACAATGAACATGTGGAAAGATGGATCAAAAATATAGGTATAATGACTTAATTCAAGGCAATTTTGAGATTATAAATATGAACGCGCATAAACTGAAATCACTGAATTCACATAATCGTTTTATTTATTAATATTTATTTTTCTGTTGTTATAAGGTGGTTGGTTGTGAAAAGAATCTATTTAAAAGTTTCATTTAAAAAAAAAAAAATGCAATCTGTGACTATTTTTTTAGATAATTATCTGCTATAAGTTCGGTGAAATTATTTTAAATGTTTTTTAACAAATTACAGTATTGTGAAAAATCAAAATATCACTCTTAAAGAAAAATTGGAAAGTATACCAAACAATTGCTAGTAAAAGCTAAACAATTCTGAAATATGAGAACATTATTTTAAAGGCTTAATGTTATGCACCGCATTTAGATTCGAACTATTTCTTAATGATTTTCTGTAAGTAATAAATACGGATTCATCTTTAACTTTAAAAACAAAAAACTAACAATGCGAAGCATTCATTATAAATTTTACATATTTTTAGTGGAAAATACATGCAGGACAGCTTAAAAACAAGACATTCAATACTTAACGCAAGTTTTGAAGTTACAAACATGGACGCCGCTTGGTTGGTGGAGTTTCATTCCCCGATAGTGGAGGAAACTGCGAACCCTCCCCCCTCCTATTCTAACCTCCTTGGTCTTACGCGCACAAGTAAAACGCCTGTGCGCATGTGCCAACGCGGCGCAGAAAGTTTTTAGCTTTGAGGTCCGGATTATAGATCATTCCGGATTATGGGTGTCCGAATTAACGACTTTTGACTGTATTACACTAAATATTTCAATTTATTTACTCTCAGTATACGAAAATTTCAACTAATAATTTGCAATGAATATAAAACTATTTCAGTTAAGTATCTGTGAAAGCAGAAACTAGAAAAATCTCAGGGGACAATGCATTTTTCATTAAAAAACCTCGTGAACATGTCCGAAAAAGGCATAGGCTAGAAATTTAGCAAAGAAGGGCAAAAATTGGCATGATTATGGAAAATTTTAGAAAGAGGCAGAATCCTATTTATGCAGCTAGATGTGAATCAAAATGTGAGTAATGGGACAGTAGGTGTCTGAAATATTCGTCGAAGTGCAAATTAAATAAAGTATAAAACTATATCATAAAGTTAAATTATAATACTATGTTATGGCATAGTTACAGAAAAAGAGGATAGCAAGTTTAAAGTAAAAAAGAATTCGCCCAAACAATGCTCTTGCTGGGATCTTTTTAGAAAATAATGTGTGTGTATGTAACAGGAAAGAGCCAGAATTACATAATTATTTACATAACACTATAACTACCATTTACTACAACCTACATTTACTATCCTGAATTATTTTCCTCGCACAGTTTAAAATAATCCAATCATTCATTCAATAACGCATCAAGTTTGTGCTCTAAGGATCATAGATCTCAAACAAACTATTAGCAGGTTGTCGTTTTCCTTGCAAATCCCTATTTACATCATTATATAGTAGAGTCATTGAACAACATTAAATCATACAGCCAAATAGGTTCCATGAGAGCTGGAAATTCTTGCAAATTATCTTAATTTTCTGCATGAATGTATATATATGTAATGATAACACAACATATTTGAAGTACTGATGTAGAAACACTGAGACATAAATGCGTAGAAATACTGATAGATACTTTATGCTTAGAGCATCCATCCATTTCGAAGAAGAAGCAGTCAAGCCAGATTAAATTCCTTTTTTGTGGCCACAATTCACTTGGCACTGAAAGCACAAGCAAAAGTGATTCATCAGTTCATAGAAAGAAGGGAGGAAGTTAAAAGTTTCAGTTTTTAGTTTTGGTTTGCAATTTGGTGATTGGTCAAGAGGCATTTGCATTAAGCATTATATAAAATCACATGATTAATTTGAATGACACAGTTTAGACTTATGGCGCTATTTCTAAGATAGAAAGATGAAGTTCCCAAATGAAATAAAAATAAAAAAAGCTATAGTGAATTAAATTTAGAAGTATATATATTCATATTTTCAGTTTCATATTTTTTTATTACATACATACACATATACAGTCAAAGTTGTTAATCCCGGACTCGTTGGGACTTCGGCGATTCCGGATTATCGATTTTTCCGGATTATAGATCATCAGTTTAAATATGGTAAGATGGCATGCAGAAATTATAAAATTAAAAATATGAAATCATAATTTATGAAATAAAGAACAATTATGATCTAAGGGTATCAAAATTTACAAAAAAAAAAAGCTTAATATTTATTTGTTTACTTTATTAAACATTTCTTTCAATTAAGTTGTTTAAGTTGCTCGTTTTTTATGTGATAATACATTCTCTTTAACTCTCTACAAGACATAATTTCTTGTTCAGTTACAAAGTTCTCTGTCAAGTCCTATAACTGCTGTGTTACGACTAATTTGTCAATTGAAATTTTATCGTTTCAATAACCTCGTCATTTCCGCTATCGGAAGCGAATTATAATGACGAGAAATTTGATTTAAATCATATCAAAGACAGGAGTACATTGAGATGAAATACTACATTTAGTAAGGAAAATAAGCCAAATAAAATAAAAAAAATCTGCCCTGAAGATGAGGATAGTGCTGACAGATCAACTTCCAATTCATTGCGCTCCGCCGCGTTAAAGATAAACACAGTTTAGATAAAACAAACATTAAAGTTTAGATAAACAAAGGATATGCCTTTTATCCATTTTTGCAGCATTCCACTTTTTGTTTAATGAACTTCGAAAATACTTTCGCTTTGTAGATCCTTTACATATTAAAAATATATATCAGAAATTTTATTTGACCATAATCAAAGTTCAAGCTTACTTTTATAAAATTGCTCTAATAGTCTGCAAAAAATAATAATAAGCCGGATCCAATTCGAAGATTAAGGAACTGCGCAATCTGCAAACATTAACGAAATAGATAATTAGTAATTTTAGCTTAGCTTATACCATCTGTTATACATTAAACGCGCACTCGTAAACGTATTTTGCGTACGCGCACAAGCATATTCGCAGCCGTAAAGGTCTTACGTGTCAACGCGACGCATGCGCAGAAAGTTTGTAGGTTTGAGGTCCGGATTATAGATCATTCCGGATTATGGGTGTCCGAATTAACGACTTTTGACTGTATATATATATAATAGAGAGAGAAAGAGATTTAATTACAATTATACATTTGAAAAACAAAATCAAACTTGAACTCTTTATATATAGACAGAGAGATTTAAATGTGTATAATTATATAGTTGAAAAAAAAAATCAAACCTGAATTCTTTACTTAATTGGAAAATTTAAAGGTATGATTGCATATGCTTATGATAAGAATATTATACCTTTGTTGTGACTAATCTCGCTTGTTTAATATACGGCCCATGTAATGCATCATGGCCATGAAGCAAGATTGCACCTGTCATTGGCAAAAGTCTTGGGCATAATACACATTACAATATGACTTTACTCAGTTTCGATATAAGTGAGTATAAGTGAGGCTGATTACAGGCAAATCGTTAGCACTCACAGAGCCAGATGTTCAGTATTAGGAACTGCTGAATTTCCAAGCATGCCCTGCAGAATACAGTGGCGCAAATGTACCAATAATATCTCAGAAGCATAAAAACCAAGGTGAATCATGCAAAATGTGGTCATAAACCAGTACTTGATGAGTGAATTACTCAGAGACTCAATCAAAATTGCATCTATTGAAAGAAACGGAACTTTATACGAGATTTATGGTAGATCTTTAATATAGCTGCTTCATCAAGCATTTGTATAAGGACTGTTCTCTAAAAACTTGCACAATTCAGTTATAACAGCTAACAGCCATATCAGGTTCTACTGCTAAGTGGAAGACATCAGTATCTGTGGCTGTAATTTGCTAAACTGCACCACCATAGAATGGCAAAAGACTGGTCACAGCCACCATAGGTGTCTTCTGGTGCAGTGAATCAAGATGGCAGAGTTCACGAGTGGTGTAAATCATACAAAGCACAGCATCTCTCATGTCCGACAAGGAGTGTACAGGTTAATGGCATCAGTGTAACTGTTATGGGCATATTTTCATCGAGTCTTCTCATCATGCTTTGGATAGATATCTGATGATTTCATACTATGTTACATTGCTGCCTGATCATCTAAAGTTCTTCACGTGCTGGTTTGTTTCCAAAGAACAATGCACTTTTTTACATGGATAATGCATAACCCAACCGGTCAAATACTGTTCATAAGTGGTTCTACAGCCATAACAGTGAGGCTGGAACACCTATCTGGCTTCCAAGGTCACCAGATATGAAGAAGCCTTTTGATCATTTGTGGGACAAGCTGCAATGATTTCATAACTCTCTTGACTCACCACCACAATCTATGGCAGATTTACAACAAAAACTGCAGAATGGTTGGATGGCAATACTGCCATCCCACTGTCAATACCTCTCAAATTCCTTCCCAGGCATACTGCTGCTGTTATACGAGGAAAAGGTGGAAAGACATGATATTGAACAGTGTGTATAGAATTATTCCTTTCAATGGTATTATATACTTCAATGCAAAATAATAACTTTTTTTTACCAAATAAAATCTTTAAAAATGAATAAGACCATTTTACTTTAGTTATTTTATTTTGCAAAAATACTGCAAAAATGAAAAATAAAAAATTTTTAGGCCATTATAGAAATTAGATTTAATATAGTCAATTATGCAAAATGTTACATCTGTTTTGATTTAAGAAAAGAATACAAACTAATACAAACTTATTAAACAGTCTACATTTCTACATTAAATCTACATTTTCAGGGCTGGCATAAGTGGGCCTGCATGCCCTATACCACAGTTGGGCACAAATAAGCTATCTCCTGACAATAGTCAATCAATTTTTATTATGTTTATAAACAGATATACGTGAAAAAAATTATGTATAAAAGTATATAATGATATGGATTTATATTTACAAAATTATGTATAAAAGTATATAACGATATGGATTTATATTTACAAAATTATGTATAAAAGTATATAATGATATGGATTTTTGATAAATGTAAGATCATAATCCAATCACGGAAAGTCAGCCAAAATGAAATACTTCATATTTTAAGCTGTGCACTAAGGGAAAATTAAAACATTTATTTCTAAGGCTTAATGGTGTTCAATGATCTTAGAGTATACACCAGATGGAAAGAAAACAGAACAAATGATGATTATTATACATGGGGCTTTGTCATTTGCAAGAGACAGTGGAAATGAAACCTGAGAAGTTAAGTTTTTGGAAGCAGGAAATTCTACAGATCGTTGTCTACACAAAATGGCAGCTGAATGCTTGAAACATACTGTATGTTAATTAACTAGTTACAATGATTTTCATCTTTATAATAACTTCTTCCTTTCGTATTTCTCCCCAGAATGCAAATTGGCTTTGAAAGTATATAAGCTGAGAGTTTACAATCTTAATACAGAGACAGCTTCTGGCAATCACACTGCGATGTTATAATTCCTACCCAGTTCTACCTAAAAGTGATTATTCTGTTTTTGCATTCTCTTACTAGCTGATTGTTTTATATTACGTGCTGGTAAATAGCTTACTTGTTGAATGTGCAATTTTAGACTCTGTCTGAATTTAACAGACTGCTGTTGTTTAATTTACATCACCACGAGTGTTGGTTTATCTGAAGTACAAGGTCATGCCTTTTATGATTATTATTTATTAGCTGTGACTAAATAAAAAAGTTACTTTGAAATCTTCCTTAGTACTCTGAATTGTTAAGATGTAGTGATAACTCGCTATCTTGTCTAAGTAAGGTGCAGGGCTTAAGTTTAGTTTGCAGATCACTAGTAACCCTACAACTGATGACCAAACGATTTACAAACTATGCCTCAACGCCAACCAACTTTTAGCCTTTTCCCCCAAAAAAGTTTCTCCTGTAGCAGAAAATCTGATTTAAGGCTTTGCTTTCATCATACATACTATGCACACATCAATGAATTTCTGCAAGCACAGCAAAAATGAAGAATAAAGGACTATTCAGAGGACTGAAAACAGCCACCATAAGACAAGGAAAGTCAGCCACAGAAAAGGTTAAGGATACATCAGAGATATGAGAGCAGAGCAAACATGATCAACGTTTACCCTTAAAAGCAAATTTTAGTGCTTTTATGTTCTGTGTAGTTCTTGCTTATTCAATTGAGACATTAGTGATGGAAAAAAAAAAAAAAAAAGTAGATAACTTTATTTTGCAGTTGTGCAAGTTAAATATACATTGTTTGCTTCTTTATCAATGCATTGGGAAATTTTATACGAATTATGATTAATTTAATATTAAACCAATTACCAGACATCAGATGTGAATACAAAATCGAAAGAAATTCAACCTCTATGATATCAACAAGGAGAAATTTATGATGCAGATTTATTCCTTTCTGATTTTGCATGGCATTCTTAATAGGAAATACTATTAGCAAACACCATCAAGATAAAACAATAGATATTTAAATTGTTTTAGAATACTTGAAGGGATTAAAAACATTTTATTAGGATAAATATCAGACTTTTAATTGCAATACTTGATGATGGCAAAAACTTTATGAATATGGTTTGGGGAACTGAAATTTAAATCTGCAATTGAAATTTCATGATAGCAAAAGATATGCTTATTTTAATATCAAGACGAATCTCCACAAATACTACCACAATTCAGATATCATGCAGACATCATTAAAAGAATGTTTTGTGCTACTGAACATGCATAATAATAATTTTAATCTCTTACAGAATTTGTCAGAAATTGATACAGAATATCTATGGAAATACAATTTGGAAAATTTGCTGAAAGATATTTGACTTTACAATGAAAGTATATGCTTTCAAAGATGCTTACAAAGATGAGTTTAAAACTCAAAATACTTTTGACATTTTGAAGTTAAATGCATCTAGAATTTTATTACTTTATAATTTGTATTAAATTTATAACCTGTTGAGGTTGTAAGCGAAGAAAAATTAATTAGAACATGCATGCAAGTACATCACAAGAAAGACATGAATGCTGAATTATTAGCAATTATGTTCTGAATTAGACATAAAAAATTTTTTTATACTTTCATTCAATCTAAAATGTAGAAAGATAAGATAGGAGGATAAATGTAGATCCAGGTGCAAAAGAATTAATTTATTGTTTTAACTAATGACTATACTTGACATTGAAAATGCGACAACAAGAAGGAGTGGCCCAAAAGTGATGAAACTCGGGCAATGGCATCCAGTCACATCCCAAATGTGTTTGATTGGTGAGAGATCAGGAGAAAACGGTGGTCAGAGAAGAATCTGTACACCTTGCACAGCATGCTGGCTGATGCGAACAGTGTGTGCTCAGGCATTATCTCGCTGACAAAAGGCATTGGGCAGTCCCTGAAGGCAGGGGAGTGTCACCGGCTGCAGCACATCATCCATCTACAGTTGGGCCATCATAGTGTCCTGAATACAAAATAAAGGCAACCTAGAATCGTATGCAATTGCACCCCAAACTATGATGATGTGTTGTTACACAGTGGGGCATTCCACAATTGCTGCTGGATTGGGCCTGTCTCCACAATGACGGCACACTTGTAAGCGGGGCAGCTATCAATGCAGAAACAGAAGTGTAACTCATCTGAGAATACGACTCTGTGCCATTCCATTGTCCACATCTACTCAAGTACAGCAACATTGCAGACGCTGGCGTTTATAATGTGGCGTCAAAGGCAGTTTTCTCAATGGCTCAACAGATGCGATGTGTGCAGACCACTAGCCACCAATTTACAGCAAATGGTTCTGCTACATATGGGAAAATCCAGGATGTTTTAAACATGCTGCAGAATGGAGGTGGAAGTGGCTTGTAGGTGTGCCACCATTTGTTCGTGGATGCGTTGATCCACGCATGTTGACGTTACTTTACCTGCACTGGTACCGCTTGAACTCTCCACATTTCCTTGTTGCAACTATTGTCGCCACTGTCAGTGCACTGTGGATTCTTCATAAATGGAAAAAGCTCTTACCAAGTTATAAAATTTATTAAAATTACCAATTTATAAACTTCCAAATCATAAAATGTAATTTTTACTAGTAGATAAAATTAAAACTGAGAAAGAGCTTTAAAAGTTCCAGTGTTTGTTTGACAATTTTTTTTTCCAAAAATAAAATGAGAGAGACAGAAAAGTATCTAAATTCAAAGAGTATATACTATTGCCATTTGAAAAAAATCAGAAACACGGAGAGAGGTTTCCAATCTACATATTACTGTAAAATTTTCATATAACAGATGTGAACACTCTCTCTATTAACGGACAATTTTTGAATCCGTTTGACCCTGGAACTAGGAGACCAACACACTCATTTAGGGACATTTTCTAAGATGGAAGCCTTGGTCTTCTACGTATCAATCAAAGGAAATTTCCATTTTATCTTAATTTTTTTTGGCAATCTATTAAACTCACAGCATGTAACTATGTACATTGGAATCTTTCCCTAGTGGACACTTCACTTCCTAGTGGATTCATCACTAATGCTTTTTTGTCCACTATCAAGGAGAGTTTGCTTGTATTATTAGATTCTTTCTTTAAAGGCTCAGCAGTTTAAGAATTGCTTTCTAAATTGCAGAGCCCTTTAATGGAGGTTCTATTCATATATTATAAGATTTTAACAATTAACACAATCATATAGCAATGAATTATGGTTTGATATATTTGTCCTATTGTTAAATTACTGCACACACACACACACAAAAATCAATACACATACAATTTAACAAACTAATTATATTCACTATAAAAAAAGAATTTTTTATAAAAAAAAGCTTCTTAAAAAATGTAATTTATTTGTACCTTACATAAAATTCCAGTGAAGGCTTTCGGCACGTGTCCGGATTATAAGAAATACCCAGAAGCACAGGATAAGAAAGAGCTTTAATAGGAATATTTATTTCATCCCTTATTTCTTTCAGGACAGATTCAAATAATTCATCGACAATATGAGCAGGTTTGACACATTCCATACGTTCACAAGATGCATTTTTAACTTCCTGTAAGGTTGAAGCATATAATTTTACATTATAAGCAAAATAAAACTTTTAAATACACATTTCTTTGTTATAAATTATGTTCATATTTCTATCTCTCTATATATATGTATAGGAAAATGGTTAACATTTTAAACTTTTTTTTTACTACGTATCTTCTTTTTATAAACTGCAATTATATCAAATTAGAAACATATTAATTACATACTAGAGGAGATAAAGATGTATCATGTAAAAATTTCATGCAATCTTTTATCTGTTACATATATTCATTAGGAATATCATTTGACAAAAAATTTTAACCACACTCATCAGAAATGCATGTACAGTACAAAGTCCGTAATCCAGACTCGTCGGGACTTCGGCAATTTCGGATTAGGAGTTTTTCCGAATTACAGACCATCAATTTAAATCTGGTAAGATGGCATGCAGAAATTATACAATTATAAATATGAAACCATAATTTATGAAATAAAGAGCAATTATGATCTAAAGGGTATTAAATTAACAAAAAAAGCTTAATATTTGTTTACTTAATTAAACATCTCTTTCAATGTAAGTTGTTTAAGTTGCTTCGTTTTTTGTGCTAATACTTTCTCTTTAATTCTCTCGTCTATAAAATGTTTCTCTTCTCTTTACACACATGCATAGCGGACGTGCACATTAAATGCACATTGTACCATAATTTACAAAATGAATAAAAAAATTACTATACAGTGTAGGATATAGTTTTTCTAATAAAAGTGCAAACTGCAAAAAATTTACATGCTACTCAATATTTTTTAAAAGTACTTACTTCTCTTATTTTCTTAAATAATTTATTTGTTTTTCAGTGCTAATGATACAAAATTGTCTTTAACATTATATGGTATTTCTATGGGATTAAGATTTAGAGCTCAAATCCCAGTCATACTTTCAGAGGATAAAATCATTAAATGCCAGCAATTTGTTATGTTTGGCTCTCACCAAATGGGCTCATGAGCTTTTTCACAGCAAACTGAAAAAAAATAGCAGTTATCTCTTTAAAATCCTCTACAAAAGCATACATTCTATGGCAGATAATCCTCACAATAAATAAATAAATAAATAAAAAATCATAAATTATTTAAGTTTTTTGTAAAAGTTATACTAAAAGTAAACAGCAGTTAAACAATGTTGAGTCAATCTTTTTATAGATTTTCCACTATATGATACTACAAGGCACTGTAGTTGGGAATGCATTTTTGAAACAATAGCCACCACAGAAATACCATGTCAAAGCTAGGTCATCTGTCTCGCCCTTGCATTGCAACAACATGATCAATTTAGTTAAGTTTGTTGTAATGGCTGCAGCTGATTTCTGTCATGCCAAAATTTCACTAGTATGCAAATACTAATTTTTTATCAAAAGTCAGGCATATGAACAATCAAAACAACACAAAAGGGAATATATGTCCTGCATGAAAGCAATATAAAAAAGGATACAATGAACAAACCATGGTTCACACTTCATTGTTTAAGTGACACAAACATTCTGCAGAAGGTAGGGATAATCAGATAAATGTTCATAATTAGATAACCAGGAAACATGAGAACAAAAAAACAAGATTCACAGTATGTGTATCTTATGCGAAAACTATTCTTAAAGTATATATGATACTGCTACTGCAAACGGCATCAGCTGTGAAGCAATTACATATAGTGAATTAACTTTCTACGGCAGGCATAGTTCCTGAAATTATTTACTCACATTTAAAATAGCTGATACTTTTTTAAATTTAAAAATCCACCAACATTACCACTGTAAATTAATGGTTATAAACATTTCAATAAACACAAAATAGCAATTATTTGCGAATGATTTGAAAGATAATATATTTCAAATAGAAATTTAAAAATTATATTTTTTAATTACATCAGGTTCTGGATGACCACCAGGACGATCTATACGACCAGGCATTTCAGCACAAGTATTACTTCTACGCATAAATACTATATCGCCGTTTCGAGTTTCTAGTAGAGCACCAACACCTAACGGATTTGCCAAGTATGCCTGAGGATCAGAATAATTAGTCATTCCATCCTTGACAAGTTGCTCGGCATGCGGAGCATAGTTCGTACCGATGAATTCTTTATAATTAGTTATACCTAAAAAACACGTGATCCTCGGGAGTAAGTTGCATATTGTTGGATCTTCAACTTTTAGTCCATAAAACCTAAATTTTGAAGCATTAAACAAATTAACTCCTGTCTTTGATTTTTCTATCCACAATTTTTCAATCGAATGCTGGAAAATCGGATGTGGCTTCATATTATACTTCGGATTACAATGGACTTTGATTAAGTCCTTGGTAAGGCCTTTCCCTGCAACACAGAAAGTCTCTAAACTATCATTTATTTCCATAGCTATAAAATTGGCCAAAGAGCCAAGTAACTGTAGTTTCAGTTTACTTCATTAAAGAAATTTTTAAAGCTTCGGAGTTCATTTAGAAAAGGAAATAAAGTAAAGAGTTCCGTTCATCAATTACAGTTATCCTTCTGCACTAACATATGAAACCAAAACTACGTAAATTAAAACCGCCATTCCGTTCAAAGTAAATTCCAGTTCGGAACTGTGTTGCCATATCTCAAATATTCCTTTTCTCTGCCTTCCTAAATCAGAGTCATGAATTCATAATAAAAGTTACGCAGTAATTTTCACTGAAAACAAATGTTTCTAAATTCAGAACTACTGTATCATATCTTCATTTACCATGTTTAGAATTTTGAATCTCTGTATTCATGTGCATCCTTCAGAGAAAGCATGGATAGAATAACATTACATTTGCACCTACGTGTTAGCTGAGGCGTACGCGGCGGAAAGGTAATCAAACAAACCTCGTCACTTTAACTTTTGGAAGCGTAAAAAGCCTTCAGTTTTTAAGTTGGTCAGCAGGGTTGATCCTGAAAGTCAAGCATATGAATGTTCATACGTAAAAATAGGGCTTAATATCGACCACATTATTTTATGGCTTTGTAAGTTCTTCCCCTGATGTGTAGGGCAAGTGATGAAATCTCGATATACATTTTCCCTCGTAAGATAGTTAGCATTGTCAAAGAGCATAAGTCTACCGAGCGCATTTCTAACGAAATACGATGAGGACGCCCAAGGACTATCTGCCTAAGGGAAGAGATGCTTTCGATGTGAACGATTTGTTGGTGAACGATAATTAGCTGTCTATTTAATAACTGTCGGCCTTCTTTTCTTCTTTTTGAATTCGCTTTCGATTTCAAAGCTATCTGATGTTTTTACGTATGCTGTGGTTGACACCATTATACGTTAAAGCTACTGTTACCCTCACATAAAATTCATTAATTTCTTCTGCTCATTATAAATTACGCCTTTAAAATAAATTATTTGGTTTTGGTTTAATTCTGAAAAGTTATATCTGGCTCTTCTTACCATCGGCCTAGCAGTAACTCTATCAATTCGACCAATTTTCGAGTCTAGGCTAACAGCCTGGCTACATAATAGGTTTTCAAGGTTTACCCTATGTGTGGAAAGCGAGCCAGTTTCTCTTAGAAAATCCTTCAAAAAGGCATCGATCTCCTCAAACAGATAACCTTTGTATGCTGAGCCATATTCAAATAACTTAATCTTACATTAACTGGTTAAAGTTCATCATCTGGAATTAGATCGAATAAAGACTTTTTAGAAGATAAGACATTGTAGTATTTGGCAGTGCAGTTCAATCCAGCGATTAAAATAGCGTGTATACGTTTTTGATTGTACAATATTGCTGCACAGTATTTGTATCAAATTCTTGATTGCTAAACAATTCCTAAATAATGCAAACATAACAGATTTCATATTGCAGCTGTTGTGTTTTGGACGACCTGGAGCTGTTATAACATTAATGTACCTGTTATTAAATTAATGTGATGAATATTTTCACTAATAAAATGAAGCATGAGAAATAAAATATTCTTCGAATTAATATAATCTTACCAAATAAAAAGATAATTTTAATGAAACTGAACTAAATATTAAATATGATCCTAAATTTGCCCTTTTTTAGATTTGATAACTTGTTCCATTAGTTTAGGCATTTATTTAGACAGCTTTTGACATATGCTTTTCATTTCGTAATAATAATGACATAGAAAATTAAAGATTTATTGATGCATAACAGTTTGCTTTTAGTATTACTTTCAAGAGTTTCCAAAGATAATAAATTGGGTTGAGATGATATGAGTTTCTTCGACATTTATGGACACATATTTGATATTCTAAAAGCACTCGAGTTTTTCTCGAATTAGTACAAAATCCCATGTACAGTATGCCGTAAATTGCCATAGCTGGTAAAACTTCTGCAGTATTTCAGCATAGGATCATACTATATGCCAAAGAGAGAAAAGCCGCCCCAGTACGCTTTTTCCCAAGGTACTTTAAAGTATGGTCTATGTTTCTTAATGATTTCCTAGATGACTACATTATGTATCGTGGATGCAAATCCTAGAGTTAACCGAATAGCAGAATATTTGCCCAATTTCTTACCTTTCAAATAGCTTGCCGAAATCAATTTATTTTCGTTGGACTTGTCAAAAATTCCTTTTTCCTGGGATCGAATTGAATTAGAAAATCAGCAACTGATGTTTAGAAGTCTTCTCATGAAGAATGCACATAGACTTAACAGCGAGACATTTGTTTTCGCATATCAAAATTGATGAGCCGAGAGTTTGGTCAAGATACTTCTTTAACAAGACAGAGTTTATTTCGGCCAATAGTTTTATGCTGTTTACCATATTTTTCAGTTTTACTTGGTCAATGATATTAGTATCAATTATCAGTATCAGTATATTAAACTGTTGTTAATCGTCACAACTTTTATTTCACACATCTTTATTATAGTAGTTTAAATCATAGTATTGTTACAAATTTGTACTAGGTATGTAATTTTAGTAGAATTATGATTAAAATTGTTGTATTTTATTGTGTAATGTAGCGCGAGACAAATTTTAAGAGAAAGCTATGCCGGAAAAATAAGGATACAGGAACATATGCGTTTTACATTGAGTAAATGGGTATCTCACCTTGTCCAGAAAAGCGAAGGTTAAATTTCGAAGCTGTATCCAGTGCGTTGGAGCTTTGGGAAGAAATATTTGAAAGATTACAGCAGGATTCAATTGAAATTCTGTCAATAGAAGCCCACTGAAACACTCCAGTAACTTGCCACGGATGTTGTCTCATTTCTTCTTTTGGGAATGCCCGACAAATGCAAAAGAAATCCTGTCCCTGCAGTACTTCATCGACGGCATCTAGGATCCTGAAATACAGAAAGCTCTAAGAATGGCGGATGTCAAGGATTTAAAACGCACTCTGGTGTACGTCATGAAATTCGAGGGAGCCCAGCAAGCAACTAGTAGAGACCTCCACCTATTCAGAGCTGCTCAAGGTCCAGGGGCCAGTGGACCAAATGACTGCTCGTTTAGATCATTTAACCAGACAAGTCAATGCTTTGATACAGAATAGGAGTGAGAAGAAACTGACTGCGGTGTCGAAGGCCACGTAGGAAGGAACTGCAGAATAACCATAGTAGTATATATAATGTAAATAGTATAAGACCATGGTCCTATTTGTTTCTAAATTCGTAAATTTATGCACTCATTTATCCACTTAGTAGATTTTTTTAAACTTATTTATTGAAATTATTGTTTATGTTATTTGCTGTTGTACTGTAATGTTTATTGTTGCATTGATGCCTTAGTTGTAAGTAATGCTTCCTGTCCAGTAATGCACTGCCCGGGACGCGTAATGGCAGACCGCACATTGAGTTGAACAATGTTAAGCAAATTTCGCTTACTGCGCATGCTTGATGGTGTACCTTTGGCGCGGGGAGAAATATTGGCGACTAAAAGCAACCCTACGCTAGCTTATTCGTGATCACCATGGCTGTCGAGTGTGTTCGAATGATGTTTACAACTATAATGTTGTGGAACTTTGCTTATTAGTTATTTTAACGTCCATACCAATTGCACTTGCTTATTTTTCTAATATATATTTCATTGTAATTTGTCAATAACAGTGCATTTAATATTTGTTAACATATGTTCGTAATAATTCGTTATTTAAATGTAATTTGTTTACATGTTATAATTCAGTAGTTGTAAACTGGAGTATCTCACTTAGTTTTGTTAGCGTATATTCGCGCTTTTTATTTTCTCATTTCAAAGAATTTAATAAACAGCATTAAGGAATTGTAAAATTTCTTCAGTGTTATTTGTAAGCACTTGCTTACATTCCTCAGTGTTTCTTTATGTATGTATGTACGTACGAATGGAACGTATGTTAAATCCTGAATTGTTGTTTGTTGCTTAAAAGTATAATGAATAAATTTTTCAACTAAAATATCCTAAATTTCAGTCTTTTTCTGAATGAAAATTTGCACAGTTCCAAAGGAAATGTGCAGAATTTCATAAGTATTATATTTCACATTTTGAATGCAAACACTGCTTCACATTACTTCGCAATAATTTCAGCTTTCTAGTTTTTGAGCAGTACAAGCAAAAGATATTTTAACACAGTAATTAATTTACATTTATATTATACTCTACGAAGATTTAAACGCCAGATTTGTTTACAATCAGGTGGCGGTACATCTACCATATACCGTATTTATCTTCTTTTCAAATCACGCCAACATAGTAATTACGCCAAATTGTTTTCTGGGCATGCGCAGTATGCGACATTCGTTTAACACTGTTCAACTCAATGTGCGGTCTGCCATTACTCGCCCGGGACGTCCAATCCTTTGGAAGGGACAGTATTACGAATTTTGTATTTAGATATCTAATTTTAGTAGAATTATAATTAAAGTTGTTTTATTTCCCTGTGCTATGCAGCGCGAGACAAATTTTAAGAGAAAGCTATACCGGAAAAATAAAAATACAGGAGCACGTGCATTTAACGTTGAATAAATGGATATCTCGGTAATTTGTTTTGAAATTGAATTAATGTAATTGACTACTATGTTAGCTGTAACCGTAATTCCGCATTCTTTTTTCTTTCCAGATATCTCGAGAAACATAAATTAGTAGAAAGATCTGGCGCGGCCAGTTGGAAATTATTTAAAGCTGAAGAGAGAGTATCAACTCTGAGTTGCTTAGTTTCTGTTATTCCGATTTGTTTAGTTCCGCGGGAACTGAGATATCTGAATTAGCTTTCTCTTTAATAACACTTTGCATTGCGTTGTATTTTAACTTTTTTTTAGTAGTTTGAAGTATAGCTAATGATTATACTGCGTGATATTGTGAACACTTGTATGAATATCTCAGAGGAGAATTCCAGCGTTCTCTTATATTTCTCTTGGTATAAATAAATTTTATGAACCTTTTATCGGACTTCTGCATTCAATCTATTACGAACCCATACACACGCAACAATATATATTCATATAGCCAGATTTTATATATATAATAAGTCTGTTAAAGTGAGTTCATCCTTTAAAGCAGCGATGCGTAATTAGAAATGAAAATGCATTATTTCATCAAAAAATTCTTTTGTAAGGAAGATTTAACCTTCAGCTAGTTTTAGTGTAATTTAGTGTAATTCCATTCTCATAAAATTTTAACACTCAGCATTAGTTTGAAAAATTAATTATAACGAGATAAAATATTTGTTATGCATAAATTGGCATCACCTGGAAGAGTTTTAATTGTACGTTTATCGAAAGTAATATTGCGGATTATTAAGTTAATATGGATAAAAGTTACAAGAAAGATTTTGAACTGAATATTTATAAAGCTAATAGATAATCTTTATAATTTCTTGAGTGAAAAACTGTGATTTGTGGGTAAGTTAGGTAAGTTTATTAAAAGCAAATTTTCTTTTTCGTTACATGTAATAGCAATTGCTTGAGCATACCAGAGATTTTCCACTCTGTTGAAAATTATGCTCATATATTTCTCAAAAATCTGTTATCATGTTATATTTATAACTACATTGGTAGACGGTTGCACGGATTTTTGGGCGATTTAAATTGGCGCTATTGTTGGCGTGGTTGTTACAGTCGTCAGCCATCTTTAAAAACGCCGTTTTTACGTATTTCACGCATAGTAAAGTATTCGAAACTTAAAAAAAAATAAATATCGTTAAAAATAATGGATTAATTTTTTGTTGAAAACGTTGTTTTTTAAGATGGCTGGCAAATGTAAATAAATACATTTACTAAGAGTATAAAATGCTGAAGTAAGGTTAAATTATTTCTTTCATATAATAGAATAAAAACACCGCTATAAAAACATTGCGCCAACATTTAATTGCAATAAAATATTACTTAAATTGAATATTGAATTAAAAACATCATACCAACGTTTAAGAGAATTAAAAATTTTCAATTAATTAAATTCAAATCCTTTAAAAATAAGTTTTATAGGATATAATTATTTAACATTAAAACATATGTGGCAATAAATATCTCAGAAATTTTTGAAAACAGTGTATTAATTTTTTAATAAAAATTGAAGTATACAATTATAAAGTAAAAGAAAAATATGTACTTACATGTTTTTAAAGTAGTTTACCTGATGTATTTGATAAGTACCAGAAAAAAAAAAAAAAAAAGATCTTCATCTGTGATCTACGTCTCTCGCACTTCATCGAAGAAGCAACTAGCGAGGTTTCCTCCAAAAATTTAAAATAAATTTCCTCTGACCCTTGTAGCAACTTATAAATAAATCTTTGAATAGGGAAGGCCAAGGTAAGGCCAAAATAAGGTCTCAAACGGGCAATTTTTTTATTCCGATAACAATAATTCTTGGTAATTACCAATAACAAACATTCATATTCGAAACGGACACATCCATTCGCTTTGACATCTGAGGAATTCGAAGAGATGAATAGTAAAATTTTAAAATGCGCGGTAATGCACAAATATTCAGTAATAAATCAGGGAGCTGATTAGATCACGCATAGAATTAAAATTATTTAAATAATCATTCATAATAAAATCATATTTAAAAAAATGCAAAATTAAATTGTATTTTAATATTTAACAGACATAAATAATGTTTAAAACATTAGATTAAATTTATAGATATTAAAACCAATTACTTTTAAAATAATGTGACGTCATTCATTACACCATTCACAACATTAAATTCAATAAAATATCATAAACAATAAAATTTTTATTTCAAAAAAAAATTCAAAATTCAATTCATTTTTATTATTTTGAAGTCATAAATAATATTTAAAACACGGAATTTATGCATAATAAAACGCATTATTTTAAAAATAAAATGGCAACAAAGTATTGGTTACCATAAATAACTTGTCCAGCAATGGATTTACCATAAGTCGTATCGCTCGCCAAAAAAAATCGCCCAAATCCGTGCAACCGTCTACCAAAGTAGCACCTATAAATGTTCCATTCTAGATAGTGATTTGCTGATATTTGTATTTAATAACCATTTAATTTCTCACTCACATATGAAAAGCTTCACTTATAAATCAAAATTTTGTATTCCATCGTACGGTTTCTTCTATTCATTCAATAGCAAAATTCTATAAAATAAAGTTTTAGCTGGTTTCAGTAAAACGTTTTCTACAAGTAAGTTTTAATTTCAAAGAAATGGTTTTAAAAGTTTTAAAAATTATTAGTTTTGAAAGAATTTAAAAGCAAGGAAAATCTACTTCATAAATGTAAAGTAAGCAGTTTTTCCGCGTTTCCTTACATATTCTTGGTCCTTTTTCAAGTATTTATTATATGAATAGGTTCTTTATATGATATAATGAGTATAATGAATGTTCTTTATATATATAATGAAAAATCAATATTATGACGTTATCGCAGCAATACATGGACATTTATAAGATAGTGAAAGAATCAATAATTCAAACTTTTCACTGAAATAAAATGATACGACATAAATTCAGTTTAAAAATCGCCATTTATGTATCTTTACTTTCCAGTGTCAATAAACACAGTTTTTATTTTGTGCTTTATTATTTATTACACAGTTTTTTTTATTTATTACACACTATTTTTTGTTTTGTGGCAAACTTAGTTTTAAACGAAGCACTACTGAGATTTGCCTCCAATGAAAGAAACTGCGATAAAATTCTGCGGAATATAGTATTTTACAGTAAAATCTCGGAAAGCAATGATTGCTTTGAATCCATTCTTAAAGCGATCTCCACGAAATTTGAATCAGTACAGTAGAAACAAAACTGATCGTATTTGCCTTACGTAAAGGCCCTGGCGAGAAAGTGAATGACAGTTGTGCAATTCGAGATTTGTTGCCAAATTTTGTTTGCACTAATTGTTGCTAAATGTTGTAAACATCCACGGAAACGAAGATGACTATGGTAAACGACAAGTCGATTAAATGAAAGGGTGAATTACTTATCGATAATAACTTGCAACGAAAATTTAACTATTTTTTACGAACATCGTTAGTTATTACACCTGAATCTCGTTATTTCCAAAGGAGTAGAGTGGACTATTTCTTGGAACTTAAATACTGTATGTTCTTTTGTAATTTGTAATTATTAATTGAAATTTATAAATATCACAACTCGACGTAGCTTCTGATAAATACCGTATTTAGTCAAGTATTTCCTCTTTTCTTATATTTTTAGTGAAAAATTCTGAAAATTTTTTAAGCATTCACGTAATTGCCCCCTTCAAAGCTTTCAGGAAGCTATCTACCCTTAAACTTTAAAATAGATTCATCCGCATAGTCGTGGTTTTTGTCTTACTAATTGATTTGCTAAGGATTCTGAATATATTCTGGGTATAATAGTAGAGAGCTTCAGAAATGGGAATATCTGTTGCTCTTGATAGTTCTGAAGATCATTACACTTGGGAAGACTGACTGAACGTTGAGAGAGACGATGACTATGGTGACGATGGTAACGACTTGCACGCTGTAGCAAACGATACAGACAAAAGCAATTCCAGCAGCATTAGATGCTTTGGAACCTAAGGAGTAGCAGTGGACGACAATAAGAGTGAGCGAGATTTAAGATGCATTGGAAGTAGAAATTGAAATATCTTAATAGATATTATAATGTTAATATTAGTATGTATTTTTGCTGGAATGGAAGTTTCTTTTAAATAAATAATAATATGATAGTCATCTGGAGTTTATCTGTGAATGTTTTTCCTTTGTTATGCTTTTACTGTAAATTACATCCTTCAAAAATTAAATTATTCGCGCAATTTTCACCTCTCGAATTTCGTGCGATAAATTCCTTTGCAAAGTCTTCAAAGGTTATTCACAGCTACCTCCTATTAGTCTTAGCAGAATTTAATTGTCAGCAAAAGGATTTGTATCGTAAAAGAAAGTCTGGCATTTCAAAAACTTGAATTGGAGCATTTATAAAGAAACATTTGATACTTTTATCACAGCACAAACATTTTTCGATGATCTTTTGGTGCGAGGTGGATAGCTCCTTTCATAAAGTTAATGATTAAAAGGGTAAGACAGCTCTTTTCAGAGATAGTATTAAAGATGTTCTAAACTTTATTTATAATTCTCCTTTGATGGAATCATTTGATGAAAGGAGAAATATTCTTCAGAAGGCTTCAATAGCATCACATTAAAGCTTGAAATATGCAAATTAAATGACGAAATCAAACTCACTTTTGTTCGATTTAAAAGGTAAAAATGGAAAAAATAGTGTTCTGGTATTGATACCAAAATCTCTGATTAAAAATTATGGAAACTTGATAAAAGCTTAGAGAGAGAGAGAGGGATATTACAGTCGGGAAAATGTTAGCATCATTGTTGACCGATTAATGATGAATACTTCAAACTCACAGCGATTTACTTGAAATTTACTTCTAGATAAATGCGCAATAGTGAAGTCTTTAAAAAAACAACGATATTACCAGGCTTTCTTTGGGCAACAATACAGTTCAGTATTGATGAAATGAGTGATGATACAGAAAGCTTAATGTGTAACTCTCTGCAAACGACCCATCCAGACCATTCGACCCATACAGCTGGATTAGTCAACTTTAGCTGATTAGGAAGTACTATTATTAGCATATTATGTTCGCTATGTTATGGACGAAGAAATCCATGAAAAATTGCTCTTGGTGAGAATTTTGACAGCAGAGACTAAAAGCTGCATCATCCATCGACAACATCTGAACGGCATGGACGTTATAAGAGATAGACTAACCCAGTGGGCAGGGCGCGCGTCACCGACATGTCGGCAAGAAAGCATAGGGACGATCTGGTTTACTTTAATACTCAAACCTGTGGCGATTGTGTCACATAACTCTTTTTAATTATTAAATGTGATACGTTGATAGTGATGAGATTATGAAAGCCACAGTTTTTTCCAAATAGGATTTAATATATCTCATTAAAGCACTTTTTACTGCATTTCGCGCATTTTTTTTTTCACGCGTAATTCTTGTACAAACATCTTTACTTTGGTAAAACGGTAAAAACTCTAAGCACAAAATTTATGAACTTAATTTTGCGTACAAATAAAGTAAAATTAAATAATATTTATAGTACGCGATGCTTTGAAATAAATAAGGTAAAATTAAACACGATCTGATATTTTTTAAAAATTTTTTAAGTGTAGAAGAATTGAACCAAGCTTCAGATTTGGTAAGATTAGTGCAAAGCAATGAATTTTGTGAAGAAATTTCTTGTTTAAAGAGGAAAAAAATTATTAAGAATAGTAATTTAAGTAATATTAACCCCTTTTTGGATGAGAATGAGATCCTTCGTGTAGGTGGACGTTTACAAAATGCAGACTTTGATCTAAACAAAAAGCATCTCAAACTTTGCCTTCTAGGTACAAACTTACTAAAATTATAATGGAATCTCTACATAGGAGATATTTACATATAGGTCCTCAAACGTTATTACAGCGCTGAGGCAGGAATTTTGGCCAATAGGAGGAAGAAATTTAGCTCGAAAAATTGTCAATGAATGTATAGCGTGCTTTAAAAATAAACCCAGATCCTCTGAGCAGCTTTTGGGAAACTTACCTGCAGAGAGAGTTAACCCTAGTCCTCCATTTTATAACTGTGAAATCGACTTCTATGGCCCATTTTTGATTAAATACAAGGGTCAACGCAAGGGCACAAAAATGTGCCCTTGGCGTGGTGCAGTTTTAAAAGGGATATCTCAATCTTTGTATGCTTTGCCACTAAGGCTATTCATTTAGAGTTAGTAACAGATTTATCTGCAGCCGCATTAATTGCAGCTTTAAACGCTTCTTCGCATGACGACGAAAATCTTTTTGCTTATATTGGGATAATGCTCGTAACTTTGTTGACGCAAATTCAAAAGTAAAGATGTTGCATAATCTAATTAGCTTTTCCCCAGCCAAATTTGTTTGCTCTCAATGAAGGAATGAATTTCCATTTTGCATTGATTGTAATAATGTATTTGCATCTGTACTGTTTATATTTTTTATGCATTAGACTTTATTCATTTAATTTTCTTATTTGTTTAAAAAATTGTATTTCTTTGTCAATTGTATCAATGTTGAACTGTAATGTAAATGCGAATTTGAAATTGAAATTTCAACGCAGGGTGTATATTTTACGTCATTAGCTACACCTACGCACTTCAGCCCTCTAGCGGCATTTTCTGTATATACTTAGGAGGAGAGGAATAAAATTATTCATTAGCGGAATACAGTCCATAAACACGCCCTAAACTCAGTAAATAAAATTCAGATTAACGCTTTAAAGTAATTTGTGCAGTTGTTCGAGGAAAATGAAGAGATCTTTCAACGATTACTCCTTCACACAGAAGTATGCTGACTGTCAAAAGTCTTATGCTTGATAAGATTTTCTAAAAAAATCTTTTTGAGACTGTTTAAAGATTTTGGATGCTAAAGATCGCATTGTAAAAGAAAATGTAATCAAATGGAAACCAGACATTGCTCATTTAACAGATTTGTTTACTAAATTAGTGAGGTAAACTTGCAGTTAGAAGGTGGCCATCTAAATTTAACAAAAACCAACATTGTATTTTTTCTTGTCAGAACTGACATAAAGAAGCAAAACATTGGACGGTGCCAATTTTCCTAGTTTGTCACAAACTGCCAGGATGATGACGTTTTGCCTATGTTCAAAATGCATTTTACGTAGACTTTAAAGCCACATTTGAGGTTGGTTTGGCTACGGAAATACCACAGAGGGTTATCAGTTCATGTTGAAACATTGAAGAATTGGATGTCAAGTTACAAAAACTCATTGGAATAAGCACTAATGAAGAATGTAAGGTGCAGTTTTAAAAGGGATATCAGCAAATCTGGTTACGGAGAGACATATCTATTATTTATCCTGCATTATGCACATATCGCAAGAAAGGTTTTGATAGCTTTTCTATCTTTATGTCTCGTGGTTGCCAATCTTCATACAAAGAGAACAAATAGAAAGAAACAGATTAGAAATCACTGGGCGAGGAGATTTAAGGTTAAGCCTGAATAATTTGAAGTAAATATTAAAATTTTGCTATTAAAGCAGCAGGTTTATCCCTCCCATTAAAAACATTGATTGTTTTGTATACGTATTTTACATAAGAATGCTGCTAGATTTGCATTTTATGCCATTTTGATTAATAAAGGTATATGAATAAAAAGATCACTTTTCTTAAAAAAAATTCTCTCTACTGTAAACCTTATCAATGTTAATAACTCTGTCAAAAACACGTTTGTTGTTAATGAATTTTTAAAAATTCATTATCAAGCTAGCCCTTCAAACCAATCAGACATTGCAAAATTTCACCAAACAGAGACGCATTAGTCACGCTATATTTCCATGCATTTTGCTTTCACCTGAGTGTTCTGGAACGCCTTGGGTGGAACTTTACCCTCAGTTTCTTTTTGTTTTGGAACACTCGAGTATAAATATTACACTACCTGACTCATTTTGGAACGATCGATAGGAAGAAGTCTACGAAAAATAGAAAAAACTCGGCAAATGGTCTACTGCAAAAGAAAGTTTTGGAAACTCTGCTCTAGACTAAAGCTAAATCAAACTGAACCTAAATCAAGCGAAGAACAACACCCTTCCCCTCGAATTCTAAAGCGATATTATATCTGGTGGCCTAAGACCAAACCGGAGATAAAAATATCACTTGCTTTAGATTCAGTTTATCTTGAGCCATCCACCCAATATAATTGGTATCGAGTTATTGTTTTATAGCCTTGATAATAATCACAGTTTTTCCATCTGAAATTTATCAAATATTTTAAACTCCATTGCACAATGATTGCTGTAAATTGATTTCTAGCAGGATAATATAATTTTCATTTCTGCATATGAAATATCGATTGATGCCACAGACCGAGGATACGGTACTGGTTTTAAGTTTTGTTAAAGTAAAAAAATTAAATTATTTGCTCTATAATCTTTTTTTGTTCGATTGCAGGTCAACAAAAAGTAAAAAAATGCTCAAAGATAGGCTAAACTTAAATATGGATAATTTCTATTCAACTGGATATTTTCTGACCATTGAAGAACAATCTATACTTCAATTATCTCTTCCGATATTGCAACAAGAGAACAAATTTACTTCAGTTGCTTTTCTTGGAAAGATTTTTGGAATAAAAAATGATTATTACATTGCTCAAGGCAGAGGTAATGACTTCATCCGGAACAAAATGTCGTTTTATAGGTAGGTAGTGGAAATTTCTAGTCACTTTAGTCACTTTAATGACTATGCATAATGCTAAGAAGCAGATATAACGAATAAAATGCCTTTCATATACATCGTTTTCAGAAAAGTTTCTTACGTCGTCTTTACTTTGATAACGTCGATCATAGACGTATACTTTGAGTTACAAAACTATTTTAAATAACGCAAACATTTATATTTTCGCATTTTTAAGTTACAAAATTATATGAAATACGAAATTTAATTTTTTACACGTTCCTCCGGTCCCTATACTTATGTTTACGGAAATGTTTTACTGATCATAAAAAATAAAACACAAAAAGTACATATATGATTCCCCGTGCGACCAATATTGACCAAGATATTTTATAAATGAATGAATTAGAATAAATCGAAGTTGGTTTTCTTTCCCCCTTCAAGTGTCAATGAATGATATACTTTTGTGATTTACTTGTCTCTTTATTTGTAGTCGTATTACATTTGGCAACCCAAAAGAATTTTCAAACACGTAATTTATAAGTCTAAAAATACGCTATTTACATATCATAAAGTGATTTATGACATCATTTTATGACATAAACTAGTAATTGTAAAAAATTCATAAAAGTACATACATTTTCATTTTTAATTAATACAGATAATATTAAATTTGGCTACCTGCTGTTATTAAAGCATTTTAGTATTTTCTAGAATACAAGTTCTATAGATTCCGAGAATAAGATTTACATTTTGACAAAAATTATATCGGTCAATATTTTTCACAATAATTTGCATAGTAAAACCCATCACTTAATCTTTTAATATCAGAAGCCTTTTGCTAATTTTATTTTTAGTTACGTACAAATGCAAACATTTCTCTCTTCAGCTGACGTACGACCCTTTGATATGACTCTCGATATAAAATATCTCAGTCAGATTTTGTCGTAGAGATTTAAAATTTTTCTGTTTTATTTTTTCAGAAAGTATAAAATTTTCCTGAACCGGTGAAAAGTGTGAAAATTTCGATTTCGCAATTTTTATAAAACTGATTTTTTTAAAAATTTAAATATGTCAAGACATGAATCTTTGTGTCCAGCAACAAATTTTTTCATTGAAAGTATATATCAATCGACTGTTGTAAAAGTGAAGATAGGATGAAGACTTTTGTGGCCATATAATATCTGTTAATTTATGGTTAACATAGTATACCCATTAAATGACTTTAAAATTAAATGCATGTACTCTGCCCCCCCAAAAAAAAAAAAAAAAAAAAAAAAAAAAAAAAAAGAGGGGGGGGGACGGTTCTATATCTCTCGTTCTACTGGGCCGATTGACAAAATTCAAATTGCATTTTTCATGTCTCGAAAGCACGACTTTAGGGACATCATTATATTAGATTTATGTATAGCGCTATTCTAACATAGGTATTTTGACACAAAATCGGACTTTTTCTGAAATAACATACCAATTTTTTTACATATTTCGATTCTAAGACTCAAATTATGCCAGACTGCCAAGTTTTGTAAAAATCGTACTAGTAGGTTTTTAAAAATTAGCTCACAAAATTTTAGTTCCTTAATGTTAATTAAATTTGGCATATATTTATTAATATCTCTTTTTTTATTAAACGTTTTTGATTTTTTCCTTTCACATTTCGAAATTTAGGTTCATTCCAAATAAAATTCACCCCTTTTTTGTGTTTTATTTTTAAATTTCTATTTTTAAATAATTTTTATAAATTTTTCGAAAACAATTTTGAATTATAACCTATAAAATATTTAACATCATCTTAAAGTAGGTGTAGTTCTAAGTATACCCGCAAAAATTAGAGTTTTTTATTCAAAATTTTCTAAAATATACACGAATTTACATATTTTCGCGTTTTGAAATTTGGCATCTTTTTTTTTGAACGATAACAACGCCAAATGTGGTTTATGGATTTTTGTTACAGTGAATTGCCACAGCTATTTTTAACCTTAAATTTCAAATAAATTTTTAGGGAGAATTAATTATATGAAATTTTTTCCCTCAATGATGCGTAATAAATATTTATTAATACTATGTGAGAAGCTATTTTTTTTAAATTCTAGATGATATTATTCAAATTTTTTACTTTTTAGTCCAAAGGGATTTGAATCCCGAAGGACTATTAGTTTCGTTTTGGCATTTTGCCTCGGACGGATAAATGTCGGTTCACTTTTCAAACTGTTGCCATAAAATGTTAGAGTCCTGCATTATATTTGAAGAAATTAAATAATGAAAATCTGCGTAAATGTATGTATATTTCTCACATTGTCATAAAATAACGGTACATAGAGTCATCGCATTTTGAATAACGTAATCCTCCAACGAATATGAGCATGTGGAAGACCAAATTTGAAATTTGAAATTTTTTTATGATCGATTTCCTATTTTTTAAAACTTTGACGAATTTTTGATTAACAAGCTCAAGGATTTCAAAGCGAGCAATGGCAACGTTGTGCAGAAAAAACATTTTTATCTTCAGCGCGTGAGTCTCTGTATCGGAAATTCTAAGATATGCTCGTTTTAAAAACTATTTTGCAATATTGCTGTTGCACTGGATCTTATGGTTTAAGTGCGAGGAACATGATATTTAATAAAGGTAACACACAAAATGTTAAAAAACGCCCCTTTGGACGTAATTTAAAATCTGAAACATTTCAGATTTTTTTTTTTTTTTTTTTTTTAAATTTCTTTTTTCTTCCCCCCCCTTTTTTTTTTTTTTTTAATATTTGTAAGAGTAAATTTTTACCTTCGCCGTGTTATCGTCTGCTACTTTACTTTGACTGCATTTAAATTGAATTGTCTAAAACTGAGAAAGTTCGTTTGATGTTTATTTTCACAATGTTTTTAAGCAAACAGGACGTTGATAGTTTGGGTCAAGCCCCAGCTTTGAAAATTATATATATAAGTATAAATTTTTACATTTAATCCTCTTCGAAAGAATGTTTTTAAGTAGCTAAGTTTTTCTCGTGTTATAGATTGTATAAAAAACATAATCTTTAATACGATTTAGATTGTTTGTAGCCGATATAATAATCGGGTGACTCAGTGGTACAGAATAAACATTGCTGGACTGTTTTCTTTATTTGTCATTTAACGAAAAATCTTTTAATTAAAATATTTATCCTTTGGAATTTGCTTTAAACTTTATTTATAGTTAAAATGCCTAGAAAATGAAAAGCTGTCTTCAACTGAAACGCAGATGATGTAATTGATATTTAAAAAAAATTGACAAGAATGCAAAATTTATGGAAGTGTAACAATCGAAAAATCGTAATTTTCTTGTGGTGAGCACTGAAAATAAATGTAGAAGGAAAGATGAAAATTAAGGAGAAAAGTAAGCAAAAATTTGAAGGGGAATTTGGCTGTCAGAAATACCAAGGTGTTTCGAAAAGCTGGATGCTTTTGAATATACTTTCAGAATACTTCAAGGAATTTTGGGTGTTCAAAGAGAAAACATTTGGACGTCTACACCAGCAAATACCATCAATTGAGCTTGTGCTAACGGAAAAGACAAAAACGATATCATTTGCAGATTAAAGTGAAGAGTGATTGGTTTTCGACTATATGTTTGTATAAATTTAAATTACGTTATAGAACTTCATATGATCATAACGGAGAATCCCACGATTTCTTAGTCGAATTATTTGAATATTCAGAAATTTATACAGTGATGTATGTGGATGTCACCTAAAGACATTTTCCCTCTTGATGAAACTAGTCTTTCCTTTCATCTCATGCCTTCAAAATGCTTAGCCTCTAAAGACCGATAAAGGCTGTGACCAAGTACTGATGAAATGGATTGAATTGGATTATTAAGTTACGGCAAAGCAGGTCTATCTGCCCTAAAAGGAGGGATGCCTTCGTGAAGAACTTACTAAGCGAAATCAGTTGGCCTACACGTTACAATAAGAAAAACCACGAAAATGCCTATGCAACCAGCCTGTTTGCCGGGATTCGAACCTTGGAGCGAAATACCAGTGTTCAGCGACTTTACCGCTTGGTCGTTTGTGGATTTTTATGAAATGGAAGGCGATAACTTTACTCAATGAATGTCGGAAATACCAAGATGTTTCGAAAAGTCGGATGCTTTTTAATATACTTGCAGAAAGCCTAAAGAAAAAGAGCAAGCCATTAAGAAGAAAAAAATAAATTTTTGCACAAAATTTAGTATTTTTTTTAAATTTAAAACTTTTTAGTCTTAAGATATTTCATTCTTGCGATTTCAAAAATGAAATATTTGACTAAAATATGAATAACATTTTAAGAAACTAAATGTAGGAGATGAAATTGTGTAAAGCAATGAGCACAATGTTAAAGCTATTTAAAGTAATATATGCAAATCATCCTAAGTTAAATTGTCGGTTATACATTTTTCTCATTTATATATCTTTTCTGAACGGAACATTGAAAGGCGTGTTAACTGTGCTTTACTGTATTTTCTCTTTTAATATATTCAGTTTTCAGGTGCATCGTAGTCTGGGACACAAAGTATTCCTCCGAAAGAAACGCAATTCAAATAAATAAAATCAAATCTTGGAAAATTTATATCAGTAAATATATTTAAAATGCTCAGTTCGAATGAATAAATAGAAAATTTGAAGAGACAACGCAACACAAACAATTAAAATAAATATCTAAAAATTTAAAAATTACCTAAAATAATAACTGTGACAAAAAATAAGTTATAAAGAAAACTATTTGAAAAAAAAATAAAAATAAACGATGCACCTTATATTTAAACTACGCAGTTCGAATGGGTAAATAGAAATTTTCAAAACAGTTATTCAAAAGAAACCATGCAACTTAAACAATTAAAATGAAATTTGGAAAAGAAAAACAAATATTTAAAATAATAACATAAAAATATAATATAAAGAACATTATTTGAAAGAAAGAACGTTGTGATTTTTTCCCCTCTCACCGGAAAGGAAAATAGGTTGCCATATATTAAGAAGTTCGCCAAGGGCAAACTGTGTGAATTTCTCCGTAAATTTTGCACCAAATTTTACAAAATTTCATATTTGGGTATAATTTGAGTAGTAGAATCGAAATATGGAAAAAAAATTGGTATTTTACTTCAGAAAAAGTCCGATTTCGTGTCAAAATAAGTATGTTAGAATAAAGCTATATATAAATCTAATATATAACTTAAGTCGCGCTTTCGAGACATGAAGAATGCAATTTGAATTTCGTCAATCGGCTCAGTAGAACGAAAGATATAGAACTGTCACCCCCCCTTTTTTTTTTTTTTTTTTTTTTTTTTTTTTTTTTTTTCGCAGTGTACATCAAAGTGTGTGCTTTCATTTTCCAAAATCTGAGCAAAGTTATAACGCTAAAAAAAGTACAACAATGCGAAAAGTGTTCTAATATCAATAATCTTTATGCAAACGGTCAGATAGATTTTGGTGTTCTGAACCGGTTAAGCGTTGAAAATAATCACTCAATAACTTACTGATCTTTGAAGATGAAGATTTGTCCTTTGAAGACGCCGCTCGATAACTGTAAAAAATGGTTATGCATTATTTGAAATCTGGGCCATGCAACTGAAGCACAATCTTATCACTATAAGTATGATAACTTTTGGAAGACTGTTCAAGACATAAACAGTTCTGTAATATTGTGCAACAGACCATAAAAAGGCATGTCTCAAATAGTTTTAAGGAGGATATTGTAGATACTGATAATTCATTTCAGCAGTAGTACTTCTGCCTAGCAGGAACAGTTTATAAAGATTTCGGCTTAAGAATGCCATCAACTATCTTCAAATCAGCACCATTTTATGTAAGCAAGATTATCTTTTCAGTTGAGGTTATGACGGTTATGTTTTATTCATCCAGGTTCATTACCGTTTTATATTGACACAGAGTTTTCTTCCAAGATGATGAAATCAAACCATGTATTAGTGTGGCGTTAAGACAGCTACTTCTGAAAAACAGGATAAACTGCATGAAAAACAGCTACTTTTGGATGGAAAGGTCTATGATTTTTCGAACATATTGTGGGAAAACTGCATCTGAGTTTACTATACTAAGTTTGTGAAAGTGGTATATCACGGTAGTTTTTTTAAGGTCTATAAATTCATGAATAATTTGACGGGGATGTACTTCCACAAACACTGTGTAGTCATTAGGCTTAAAAATGATCAGTGCCCTTGGACTCAAACACCGGACCCCGGATTCCTAGACAGAAGTGCTATTCAGATACGCCACGAAGGTACGGGGAAAAGAGAAATTAAATACTTTATAACTACAAATGGAGCGATCCGCCGCTACAGAAAGTTCCAAATACAGACGGTCTTTAAGATCCGAAAAATGAAAATATTTCAACCGATTGTTGGCAAAACTGTTCCTGTAAGCGGTGTTAACAACAAACAAGCGGTACAACAAACATGTTTGTAACAAACAAACAGTGTAACAAACGACTGGACCTAGTATTTTAGATGTGAAAGATAAGTGAAACCTGAATGTGCTTTAATGTTACCTTACAAGAGAAATGCTGAGTATGCTTTATCTCGAAGCAGAAGAGATGAACAATTTGCAATGCTGTTTCCGGGACACGAACTTGGGACCTTCCACCTGCTAACCAGACATGATTTTCAATTACCTCACGAAGTAAGAAGGGAGAAAAATACCTTACATACTTCTATAAATTAGTTTTCCCCGATGCTGTCAAAAATTTTCTTTGAAATAAAAGCATACTTTCCAAGAATATTATGATGCTGTTAACAGCCTTTAGTTTAACCAGGGAAGATGGTTAGTTCAATTTGTTTCTCAAAATGAGTCATTTACTTAAATAATTAAAAGTTATCTACCTCTTAAAATAGGAAAAAAAAAAAAAAAAAAAAAAAAAAAAAAAACCGCACGTGTACTTGTCCTCTTCTTGGAGTACTCGTGAGAATTTGGCTGACCAGTATTTAAGTTATAATGATCTAAACCACAAATTATTCTTGCAGCCTTTGGATTGTAAGAATAATATTATGATGCTGTTAACAGCCTTTAGTTTAACCAGGGAAGATGGTTAGTTAAATCTGTTTCTCAAAATCAGGAGTCATTGACTTTAATAATTAAAAGTTATCTGCCTCTTAAAATAGAAACAAAAACGCACGTGTACTTGTCGTCCTCTTCTTGGAGTACTCGTGAGAATTTGGCTGACCAGTATTTAAGCTATAATGATCTAAACCACAAATTATCCTTGCAGTGGATTGTAAGAATATAGCTCTGAATGAATTATCACACCATGAAAATTATCAGTTCACCCACCAATATCCATGTGAAAGGCGTTTTGTGTCTTTCACAGACGCACTGGTAGGTGGACGTTAAAGTTGAAATTATATTAATTGTTTTGCGGTAAAAAGACGATTATTGAAAATTTTCTAAAATATTAAGCCAAGTTTTTTTTAATTATGCTTTACTTTCATATCTTAATATATGTTAACTTGTTGTTTAGTCTTGACGGCAACTCTTGGCGTGTGTTATTTCCGCCGTCCAGAGAGATTCTTTCAAAATTTCATCTTGTACGAAACCGGTTTATAGGAGATCCATCTTGGATTCACCGATTCTATGATGTGACAGCTGAGGAGGATTATATGAAGCCGGATAGAAAGGTAAAGCCTTTTCTTTTCTTATTCATGTCTTGCTTCTTCCAGGAATATTGTTGGATAAGTATGCTAGGTTCATGATATCTAGCTTATGCCCCTTTATTTTTATGCATTTTCAACTATTCAACAACGACAGTTGTTGTTGTAAGTTGTCCAGTCGCAAGTAATATTTTATTTGTTATTCCCTTCGCTTCTTTTCTCAATTACAAACCTGTGCATTTTACAGAAGTTCAACTGCCGCGTTATGTTTTCTCATATCATGAAATATTTTGTCTTTAAAGACCCTATTCTTGACACGAGTTCTGGAGACATTTGTAGCATTTCTAGCCAGTGCGACTTAAGATACATTGGGAAAACAAAATGAGCTTTAAAATTTCACATCAGAGATCACGTGTCTTAAATTTGAAAAAAGAAATAAAATAGCATTTTTAGGTTGAAGCATTTTTAGGTTACCTAGCATTTTTAGGTTGAAGACCACAGATTCAATTTTACATCAGACAAAATTATCTAAAAATAACTTTTCATTTGGCGAATTAGATTTCCTAAGCATTCTGTATCAATAATAATCTTTTTACATAATCAGAGACTCAAATCGACGCTTTTTAACCCATTAAAATAAAAATTTTAAACACCAAAACCTTTTTGCAATTGACTTTCTTTCTTCATAAAAGTATTAACGATTTTTCAAATTGTTGTTTGTACTGGTTTTTTTGACTAAAATCATGAGCTGAAAGGAAGAACTTATCAGGTTCAATGTTCCTTCTTACCTTCTTCGGGAACATACAAGGACCTGACTCGGAACAGAGAGCTTACTAAAGCTATGTTCACTAATTGTGGTAAGTAGACAGGATACACACGAAGGGTATACAAAACCCTTTATTTTTCTCTATATACAATAACTTCCGTACTTCGGAATACAATGAGACCCGCTACTTGGGGTCTAACGTAAAAGTATAAAAATAAAACTAAACTCTAATTTAACTTTAGAATAATAAACGTGGAAGATTGGCCTTATATTAACAGGAAGCGTATGTAGTACAGAGAACTGTGAACACTACAATACGTTTAAAATTTATCAAGAGGATTAAAACCTCTGGCCTGGAAGGCAACCAGCAACTGCGTAAAACTTCTAAGGTAAGCGGCCTGCTTCGACTCACTGCTTCCTCTCTCTCGCTTGGCAAAAAGGCCACAACTTAAATACTTGGCGTTCGCCAGACAAACTTTGCATAAAAACTTTAACGCTTATAATTCTGGCCGGAAGTAGAAAATAAGAAGTGATAGTAAAGATTTAAAATAAAATAAACGTTAGTAAAACTTAAGATCCTTACATACTTCCCGCCAGAGTTAATTAGTTTGAAACTGAGGTCTAAAACGACCTTGTTGAAAACTTTTAGCTCTAGAATCTAACGCGAGGCCAATCTTTTACAAACATAACTTCGCTAGAAACTAGAAATTTAAAAAAAAAAAAAAGAATTTGTTTTTACAATAGCAGCTCCCAGGATATACAACAATTTTTTTTCATCTGTACTGCATCTAAACAGGAGCTTTTATTCAATTCTGGTTCCTTCCAGAGATCTGGAAGGAAAACTAGTTTAATGAAATGTTACACAATGAAATGGCAAGTAACATATAGAATTATACTTTCTCTTAACATTCTTATTTCATTCATGACTATTTTAATTATCTCTCCCCGTGCTCTCTGACATGTGTTGTAAAAGAACACCAAACACGAATGTGTTTCTGTCTACGTGTTCACACACTTCCTCCTACAATCAAAACACTAACGTGTTAAAATTCAACATAACGAGACCTCTTAACACACCCCTAATTTCAACTCTAAACCCTGAGGTACTATTCTGAAAGTGGCTAACTCTAAAGTGTAGCGTCAGAGAGCCTAACTACATCATTCAACATTCAACCTTTAACACATATTCACCATGATTTAGTCTTTTTACAGTCACACGAATAAAAAATTTTTAACATTACTTTCACTTTTACCATATCACGGTATTTCTTAACATTTAAAATAACAGTTCACATTGTATATAAAGAACATATTAACACATGCCGTTAATTTTACACATTTGAAAACATACATTAGTAGTACATTGTTAACTTCTATTCTTTTCAAAGCAAGTGCCAATTCTTTCTACATTGAAATACTACATTTCAAAAAGTCTTTCAGACTAAAACTTCTTTCTTGCTAGAATGTTTTAAATAAAATTTATACAATAACTTTTTACAATATTTAAGTCTTTACACAACGCTATTATACATCAACTTTAGTTTTACGCGCGAGTAATTGAAAAAACATAATACCAAAATCGGTAACACACTCATTTCTCCCCTTTTGGCGATAAAGGTAGACCTCGCATGAGGTAAAACTTCTTGAAATCTGCCACTTGCAGTAAGAATGAAAGATTAACTTAAGTTTGCAAAGTAACATAAAATTTTACTTATCTTTGTGAATATTCGGACATCCTTTTCTGGGCCCAGTCTTTAAAGGTATGCAGATAGTAGTTTGATTTATCCTCCTTCTTGTACGGGCTCGCCCTTCAGTGCTTTCCTCTGGAAGCTTCCTTTTTTCACCAGTTCGGTCCACCCTTGAATACCTTCTTTTTCTCCTCTGCTTGTGGTCTTGGCCGTTTGATGGCAGCTGGTCTTGGCGGAACCGGGAAACTTCTGTCGTGTTCCTGCTTGGACCTCGTTGCTTGGCCGTTCAAATTTTCCTTGTAACTTTTTCCTCCGCCGCTGATGGCCCTTCCGCAGTTCGGCGACATTTTGCTGCGGAGAGTTCCTGTCGGATGAGTAGATCTTCCGTTTTAGAGCCGGGTTATAGTTGCCGTCATTTCTCCTGGTTCTCTTCACATACGTCGTCGTCTCTTCTCCCTTCTTCATTCTGGGGGTGTTCGTGAACTCTCTTTTCTGGACGGTGGAACGGCTTCTTTTTCTTGTTACCTTCAATTTTTCCGCGGGGAAATTTTCTTTTCACTTGCTCCTGCCTCTTATTGGCTTGCCCTTGTACTTGTCGTTTTTTCCACCTCTGGAGCTTGTGCCTGCGGTGTCTGCCGTGCCGGATCCTGCAAAAGATCTGAAAAGATTTGCATTTTATTACGATCGAAGTAGGGTTTGATTTGATCAATGTTTGCGGAACAGGTTTCACCATTTCTGGCTTTTAACACACTACAACAGCGTGAGTTATTTTTTTTCTATAACATATGGTCCTTCAAATCGTGGAAAAAATTTGGCAGTTTTATCTTCTGGTGCTGAAGAAAGTGAATGCTTAATTTTTAAAACTTCATCCCCTACTTTATAAGTTACTCCCCGTCGTTTCAAATCATAATAGAGCTTCTGTTTTCTTTGTGCTACTTCCGTATTCTTTTTTGCTTCTTTAATTAGTTTTTCTATATCACCCATTTTAAATTCTGGGGCTCTTTGTTGCACATAAAATAATTTATCTAACGGTGTTATAATCTTTCTGCCTAGAAATAACTCAGCAGGAGTTTTGCCCGTTGTATCATGTTTTGCGGTCCTAAGGGCGAAAGCAAATTCATTGACATAGTTATCCCAGCTTTTATGAAAATTTTTAACATAACTACGGATAATTTTCACTATATTTCTATTGACCCGTTCCGCTATATTTGATTGCGGCCGATACGGGACCATTTTTAAATGACGTATGCCCAGTTTTTGGCACATGTCTTCAAATATATTACTTACAAATTGAGGACCATTATCCGATATAACTTTTAGGGGCGCCCCGTATTTTAAAATATTTTATTTAAAATAGAATCAGTAACTAATTTCGCGGAGGCTCGTTTTAAGGGTTTTAAGGGAACAATTTCGGTCCATTACTAAAATGATCAACCATAACAAGGAGATAGCGACTTTTATTTAACTGACTTTTTGGGAAAGGGCCCAATAAATCGATGCCAATTATTTCATTTGGAAATTCGGATTTAATACTATTTAGAAACCCGGCCGGGCGGAAATTAATATAATTAACTGCTTGACATGTTGGGCAGGACTGGACATACGCCCTTGTTAACTTTTGCAGTTCAGGAAAGTAGACTGCCTCGCGTACGCGTTGGATAGTTTTTCGAATACCAGCATGAGAAGCTAAAGGGCTGTCATGGAGCTCCTGCAGGATATTTAATCTAAGACTAGCTGGGATAACAGGTCGAAATTCGTTGTTGGAATTCGTAGTTTTTGTATAAAATAATAGACCATCTATTAGTTCGTAATGGGCCGCCCTATTTCTTATCGCCACAATATCTTGGTGGCTAAAATTTTCAGGATCCTTCAAATACTCATAAATGCTTCCAAACTCAGGATCCTTACCCAGTTCGGTTATTACAGTTTCTCGGGAATTTATTGTACATGCTGTGAGCATTGCCACCTTTACGGTATTACCCTTGTTCGTCTATTTTAATTCTTGATAGGGCATCTGCTACGATATTTTCCTTTCCGGGGGTATGCTTGATTACCAGATTATATTCTTATTCTTGCAGCTTGAGTGCCCATCTTATTAACCTTGGGGATAAATTTTTTCCCTGAGTACAATCTAGTTACCGCCGCATGATCAGAGTACACTGTTATCGGCGCCTTTCCAAAATAGACTCGGAACTTTTGCACTGCTAACAGAACTGCAAGTGCCTCTCTCTCGGTCGCGGAATAGTTTCTTTGTGTTTGATTTAAAGTTCGGCTAAAAAATGCCACGGGCTGCTGATTTTGCGAAAGTACCGCTCCTACCGCATAATCCGAAGCATCCGCTGAAATTTCTAAATTCTCATCCTTTTCAGGAAATTTCAACACAGGGGCTTGCGTTAATGCTTGTTTTAATTTTTCGAAAGCACTATTGGCTTCGGCCGTCCACGAGAATCTTGCCTTTTTCCTTTTTAATTTTAACAATGGCTCAGCGATAGCCGCAAAATCTTTTATAAAGGACCTATAATATGAACAAAGTCCTAGAAAAGAAGAGAGCTTCTTTGCCGTGTTTGGAGTCG